TCGGGGCGCAACACGAAAGCAGGGTAAATTCTCGTTTTTTCTCCTTCTTCTTCCCTATCTCTCACCTTTCTTCGCTACGTGACTACGCCCATCCGCCCATCCCGCTCTGTAGCACCGAAATCGTGTGTGCCACTGCGTCCGTACGGAGGAATACCATCAAGGAATCGACTGAAACCTTCCGAGGTATCCCCATCACCACTCTTTGCTGAATACGAACGACACGCCCTCCCACTTCCCGCCTTTTGCCTCCCCAGCGGCCGACGATGCCTCCATCACCGTCATCATCCTACCTCTCTGGCCGCATTCGAGCAAGTCGACGGTTTTATTGCGGCGTAGAAGAGGAAGAAAAAGTCGTTGTGTTTTCACAACGATAACAGTATTCCTCATGCGGTTGTCTTGTTGTTGTTTCGTCCATGTCCGCAATGAGACACAGTTCCGGAAGGGTTTAACAAAACACTGATGGCGAACTCTCGCATCCCTCGAGATGTTCTCGGCCATTGCCACGCAAGCTTTTCCCTTGTTTAAACTTGACGATATCCCACGCGTGCGCGGCCGCACGCACGCACGCTTCTCTTTCCCAACGTTTATGTTTGCTTCCAGAATTTCGGAGCGTCCATAACGTGAAAGGTGTCGCTCTCGTACACCGTCCGCAATGGGACATGATAGACTCAAGAGATGGGCCACATTGTCAAGCTTTCCTACAGAATGTGTCTCGCACGAGTCGGAATAAACCTCCATATGCTCTTCTCCTGCTTCCTCTCTTTCGCCTCCGGAATTCTTTTGCCTCCTTCAAACGTGTTGCAAGACGCTTCCGGAGCCCATATTGCACACACCACACACATGTCACAATTCTTTTTTAACTCCAACGTTGGTCTCAACAAGACTTCTGTCACTTTTTTATCTGAATGCGACGAGGCGACGCACCAAAGCAAAGCTTCGCGAGGCTTTTTTTCGGGAGATCTTGCACTCGCGGTTTCCGAGGTTTCAAGGGTCTTGCATGGTTGATTCGATGCTTAGCTGTCTTGGCTGTATTTTCACTTTTTCTGCCCTTTAACCTTTTAACAGTCGTGGAGAGTTCCCAGTCACAATCTGCCATTACTCATACTCATACTCGCCTGTGACTTACTCAGACTCCCAGAGTTTCTTTGCACCATGACAGGCTCAGCCCAGTCACCAGCTGTTCGTCTCATGAAGGGAGGCCAGCAGGCAAGACACCGCACGGGTGGGAAAACCCGGTTGCGATAACGAGACGACAAAAAAATGCTTCCTTCCTCCGCGCCGTTTCCGTGTCGAGCTTGAGCTTATTTTTTGTCTGTATCCGTATGTGTGCGTGTGGTTGTATCCGCTATGCAAGGGGCCACGGGAAAGATTGATGACACGTCCCCTCTCGCCGGCCCTTGGACTGTTGCTGCACACGCCCTCCTCCACGCAGTCAAAGAGATGAAGGAGAGAGAGAGAGAGAAACGTGTGAAGATGCCAAAAGCGGATACACAATCGGCATGCAAGCGCACGAACGCATCGCAACGCAACACGCAATCGCAAACTGACCACTCACAGCCTCGGTCTCGGAATCGCCATGCTCATGCCACGCTGCCACGCTGCAATGATCTACCACATTACCTGCCGTTTTTGACACCGCATGTTCCGAGCGCGGCCGTGGGAATCACAGAGCCGGCGTCGGAAATGGAGGACAGATGCAGAGAGCACACGAGGGGAATTAGCGTGCCAGCTCGTCGGGGACGTAAGGGGAGGTAGAGTGATCGTGCGTGGACACACGGATCACAACACAGATCACACTACCATAGACCAAATGGCATGATTCTAACCCGACGTGATGAACCATCTGAGCGTACAGAGAACGCCGTTGACGTGAGTGACACTGACAACTTGACGCTGTCGGCGGGTTAAGTTGATCATGCCATTGCTTTAGCTTGGTGCCAGCTTTTGCTTCAAAAAGTTTGACAAGTAGTCACATCACATGGCAGGTTTATCGCGGGCAGTTAGTTTCGTCCGCTCCTTGGCTCAATAATGGCTGACTGAGGTGAGGTGAGGTGAGGTGAGGTGAGGTGAGGTGAGGTGAGGTGAGAGTAACAAAATAAGAGGTATCTTTGATTTTTCAAGCGTTAACAATATCGTGTGATCGTGCCATATCCACTTCTCCATCGTGCATCTCTCTCCGATGCTCTGGCTCAGCCTAACAGTGACACAGACATCCGGCCGCCCACTGCTTCAACTCATCAAGGAAGACTACATCATACTAGTATCCACAAGAGAAGCGGCTGCCTGTGCGCTGAAGAGAACGCCGTCCCTGACGTGGGCTCGAGTCTAGCAGAAAAGCCTCGAGACCCGGGATTCAGGTTCCTGACAGAGACAGTGCTGACTAGATGGAGCCTCCTCCGCCTGACATATCCCGCCGTCGCGATCTCTGATCTTCGCCGGGCAAAACACCATCCTGACAACATCACCAACACCCCTCCTCCTCACCAGTCTCCCAACATGATACGGGAGAAGTCGGTAAAGCGGGCGCAAGGCGTGCTCACGCGAGGAGGAAGACTACGGTCCTACCGCTCATTTGGGGTAGTCCTTCAAGTGGTAGCTCTTGAGCTTGACAAACTGATCGTAGCCGAAGCGGCTTAGGGTCTGCCCCTTGCCGGAGTTCTTCCAACCCGTCCACGCTAGGTCCTAAAAGAGTTGTCAGTACCGACTCTGGGGAGGAATGATGATGGCGGTGGCTTAATGACGAGGATGGCTTGCAGGCTGGTGGGAAAACAAAAACGACTGGCGACTTTATAGAGTTTGCGAAAGCCGGCAGGCAGATAGAACAACAAAAGAAAAGGAAGATGATATGCGGCTACCCGCCCCGAGTCGGAACTTCCTAACCGCTTTGCCAACCCTAGCGTTCGGGGCGGGGGGAGCATCGGGCTAAGGAAGAGGGAAAGGGTGGGGACCGGAGACAAACAAACACGGAGGATAGTGATCGGAGCGGGCAGAATATAGATCGGACGATGGCCAAGTGCAAAAGATGGTATGGTGGGTTGTAGGGTGTACTCACTGGGCTGGGGTAATCGCATCGGTTAACGAAGACGGTTCCTGCTTCGACCTGGTCCGCGAGCTCGTAGCCGCGATCCGTGTCCTTGGTCCAGATGCTGGCAGTCAGGCCGAACTCGCTGTCATTCATGAGCCTGACAGCCTCCTCGTCACTCTTGACCCGCTGGACGGGAATCACCGGTCCAAACGTCTCCTCCGTCATCACAGTCATCGAGTGGTCCACACCCGTGAGAAGCGTGGGCTTGACAAAGTTGCCCTTGGGCGGGGGGTTGGTGAAGGACTCGTTCTCGGGGGTTGCGTCAGTGGCGCCCTTGGAGAGGGCATCCTTGATGTGCGACTCGATGGCTTCCTGGGAACGCTTCGAGATGACGGGGCCAACGTGCGTGCCCTTGTCAAAGGGGTCTCCGAGCACATATCCTTTGAGAACCTTCTGGACGGCCTCGACAAAGGCATCGTGAATCTTGTCGTCGACGTACACCCTCTCGACGGAGCAGCAGCTCTGTCCCGAGTTGAAGACGGCGCCGTCGACAATCTCGGCCGCAGCCCAGTCAATATCGACGTCGCTGCGGATGTAGGCCGGGTCCTTTCCTCCCAACTCCAGGCCGACGTTGACGACGCGGTCCGACGCAGCCTGCTGCACAGCCAGACCACCGGCCACGGAGCCGGTGAAGGCGACGAGCTTCACCTTGGGGTTACGCACGATGGACTCGATCATGATGGGAGAGCCGCAGTGGAAGTACTGCAACACGCCGGCCGGGAGACCGGCCTCCTCAAACACCTTGGCCACGCGCTCCACAATGGTAGGAGTCTGCGGTGAGGGCTTCAAGATGACGGTGTTGCCAGACAACAATGCGGGAATGAGCGAGTTGACCAGAATGAGGTAAGGGTACTGGGAGTGTGATGTCAGTAAAAGAGACAGGGGTATCGCGGTGGTGGTGGCTCAGCAGTTCGCGCGTTGTCTCACAGCAATGGAAACAATTAACCATGCTGCGGACACCACGTAACGGGAGAAGCCACGCAAAGTAGGAGACAAAAGAGAACCCACATTCCAGGCAAAGAGGACGAGGACCGGGCCAACGGGAACCTTGCGAATGAAGCGCTTGAATCCCTTCTCAGCCTCGCCGTCGGTGTCCTTAAGAACGTCATCGGCAATCTTGAGGAGGTACTCGCCGCGCTTCACCGCCGTGGCAATTTCGACGCCGGTGTAGGCGCAGGGGCGGCCCATCTGGACGGTAAGCTCTTGGGCGAGGTCATCCTTTTGCTCGAGGAGAAGGCTCAGAGCCTTCTTGACGATGGTCTTGCGGTCGGCCAGCGAGGTCTTGCTCCATGACTCGAAAGCCTTGGTGGCGGTGTTGGGAAGCTCATCTAAGTCGGCCTGGGAGACGCCATTCCGGGTGAGGATGGCCTCGTTGGTGGTGGGGGAGATGGTCTTGAGAACTTCGACAGACATGTTTGGTTGATTCTCTTCTTCACGGGGTATCAAAAGGTTCAAGTTGAAGAGAAAAGAGTATGATTGAGAGAAATGAAGAAATCAGTTCACAGTTGCTGATCAGGAGGCAATTCGCAGCTTAGATATCCCCCTTCATGAATCGTGAGCTCACTGAGGGGCAGGTGGAGGGGCAATGACATGGAGGGGCAACCGCCGCACCTGTGACCTCCTGCCGGACCGCGCTTGTGGGGAACGCGGTAAGATAAGGGGATGATGTAATCAATCAGCACCACCACCGATAAGATATTGGCGATAAGGCCCGCTCTAATTTTTTTTGCAGACCGCGCGCCAGAGGCTGGTGTCGCGGACTTTTGCTTGGATATTATACAACGACGGTTGCATTACCGCTGACCACGAGGCTACCGACAAGGCTGCAGCAGGGGAATTGCATCTTGCTCTTGCTAGTACTTCAAGATACTGAGAGGACCCACCGTCTATCCATACTTCAGTCCCAGCAGCCACCATGGCTCCCGAAAAACGAAACAAGTTCCTCGACGCAGACGAGAGCGACGACGACCTCGACCAGGGGTACGACTCCGAGGCCGAGGAGCTGCGCAAGGGAGGCCGCAGCGCCAAGAGGCGCAAAGTCGATAGCGAAGACGAGGACGACTTCAGCGGCGAAGAACAGAATGTCACAAAGGGCGCAGAAGACGCAGCGAGCGACGATGAAGGCGTCGACGAAGAAGAAGAAGATGCGGGAGCCTCAACCTCAACCAAGAAAAAGTCGACAAAGTTAGACCTCCCAGACGTCTCCAAGCCCCTCACGAAAAAGAACCTTGTCGCGACGGAAGAGGCCATCAAGAAATCCGGCGTCGTCTACATCTCCCGCATTCCGCCCTTCATGAAGCCCCAGAAGCTGCGCTCCCTCCTCGAGCCCTACGGCAAGATCAACCGCATCTTCCTCGCGCCTGAGGACCCGACCGCGCACGCCCGCCGCGTCAAAGCCGGCGGCAACAAGAAGAAATCGTACACGGAGGGCTGGGTCGAATTCATGCGCAAAAAGGACGCCAAGGCCGTCTGCGAGCTGTTGAACGCGCGGACCATTGGCGGCAAGAAAGGGTCGTATTACCACGACGACATCTGGACGCTAAAGTACCTCAAGGGGTTCAAATGGCGCCACCTGACGGAGCAGATCACGGCCGAGAACGCGGAGCGGACGAGCAGGATGCGGGCCGAGATTAGCAAGGCGAGCAAGGAGAACAAGGAGTTCGTGCGTAATGTGGAGAGGGCCAGGGTGTTGGATGGTATTGCTGCGACGAGGGAGAAGCGCGGCAAGGCGGCTGCGTCGACGACGGAAGGGGGGGCCTCTGTCGATGGTGGTGCGACGGCGGCACCGGCGGCGGAGGCGGAGAAGCTGGACAAGAGGCGGACGGTGTTTAAGCAGATACCCCTGGCGGATAGGAAAAGCGAGCCTGGCTCGGCTGCGAAGCCGGCAGGTGATGTTGCGAGGGTGCTGGGGAAGATCTTCTGATGAAGAAGGGAAGGGGTGGGGTGTGTGGTTATGTTCGGCGTTCAACAGTTATCGCCGCTTATGTTACTGGTAAGAGGGAGCATAAAATGTGACTTTCAAAATCATAAGATGAAAGATGAGAGCCCTATGGGCCGGCAACCTCGGGACGTTGCGGTGCGTGTGTGTGGTTGCAGGTGTACGCGGAGAGGTGGGCATCTACGGCCGACTTGCCGGACTACGGATGCGAGAGCTACTGGGTCACCATCTTTGACGGCTGAGGTGGGCAATCTGTCTGGCATCTTGGCATGAAAAGAGAAGACGAAATGACGTTCCTTTGGGTCTACACTTACGGACGAAGCTATGCACAGTTGAGAAGCCGCGGTAGTATTCAGGCAATGATGCGTGTCGTCCGTACTCGCCAGCATGAAGAAGACCCTTTGGACTGTGAAGTACCTATGTTGCTGCATAATCGGAACGAATGCGAATGCTTCGTCTACACCACTCTCGGCTCCGCGACGAGCTACATACTTGGCGAGCTCCTGACTTGGCGATCTACTCACTTGGCATGAAAGATATGATGAAATGATCCCTTGGAAACTCAGACGAAGAAGCTGCTCGAAATGAAGTCGTTACAATAGCCGGCGCTAACATGAGCACTTTGCCGTTAGCGTAACGCTCAATTTGAGGCTCAATAAACCACGCAAGAGCATGTGGGGGAGTGCGTAATTGCAACAATCTAGGCTCGGAACAACCTTCCATTGGTATTTTTGCAATAAGTCGTCATTACGTAGAGATCCTTGTCGGCCGCGGCTGCAATCTTGATCACTTCATCAGCAGCTCTCCAGCCTCGGCCTCAACTTACACCAATTTACACCGAGCTCACCGCAAGGCAACCTCGGCGAACTTGCAGACTCGACAATAATGTCCCAAGCTCATAGGAATAAGCCAAAAATTGAGAATGCCTCCCGTGACATGCCATTTGCCCTACTCACACGAAACCGTAGTCATCGCCAACATAACGCCGCGCCAACCTTCACCGGCGTCCAAGAAAACAAAGTACCCGTCTACAGCATCTCGATCAGATGGCAGCGACCCCGATCTCTAAGAGCCTCAAACGCAAAGAACAATACCGGTTGCGCGCGCACGCGGGCGGTCTCCACTCCCACTTCTGCCCGCCCGCCGAAGGCCCCCCGGCCAAATGGAGTAAACCAAGCCGCCGTCGCCCACCGCCGTGTGGGTGGGAGAGAGAGAGAGAGCCCCCCGTCCGTCGGAGTCCGCCTTGACCTGTGGGTGAGCAAGGTAGAAACAAAACGTTGAATACACAACGTACACCCTCCTCCCCACCATCATGACAAACCTCAGGGAAACTGTAAATCCGTGCGGTGCGGCGGCGACAGTCAGGTCCCCGTCGGCATCCCGCTCCCTCCCTTCCTCCACCGTCTCATCAATGTCGCCAGCGAGAGTTGTGGTCGGGAAGAGTGGAGGTGGAGGCTTACCTCATGATGGATGGGGTGTGTATGTTTGAGTAGAGACTCCATGGGTGTAGTGGATATGTCTATGGTCTGAGTGGTTCAAAGTCTGGGGAAAGGGAGGTACCGACAGGTCTCTTGCTCACGTTGAACCGGCGGCGCCCGGAGGCTGTCTGGGAACTCGGGTCCGGGATCGGGGAGGGTAAGGCTGAGTCTAAACGGCCCCTTGGGCAAACTCTGGGGAAGCCTGAGGGTATGTGAAGGAAGGACGGACCACGTCGGTTTCGTAGAAGGTCGAAACAACGACGACGCCGCCTCTGATCCCCAGGCAGAGGCTCAGAGGGCGTGGCTCCTAGAGTCGGCGGCGGCCGGGTTCGCGGTTCCAAGAGTGTCCAGTGCTGGGTAGACGTAGGGGAGGTTCTCCGCCTCTCGAATGAACATACAGACGGACGGACGGACAGACCATGGGCTCATGGGACTCATGACTAGGGGAAAGAAGGGTCTGGGGGTGCCGACTTTGTGGTGTGACTTGCGTGCTTAAGCCCGCTGGAGTCGGCGATTAGAAACAGTGAAGTCGGCAGTCCCAGACAGTCGGCACCCTCTTTGGGAAACCGAGGGAGAAGAGCACGGACGTTGAACTGTTGATGGGAAGGTCGAAGTGCTCTTGTAAACACCAGAGGGTAGGGTGTGAATGGTGTGAATGGTGTGAATGATGTAAGTCTGGGTATCCCCTGCTCAGGGCCGTGTGACGAGTTGTTGCCGGACGCACGTACGACGTTGCCCATCAATGAGACCTGAGGGTTTGTTGAGCACGGGACGTAGAGAGAGCAAGAAGAATGCATGAAGAGAAGCTCGGACAAGTCGAAATGGCACATCGCCGACAGCTCTGAGACTGGATCCCTGCTTAACGGCGAAGGGATCGTGAGATGCGGTGGTTGAACGGCAGAGAGAAGCACACCGCAGAGAAACGCATCAAGACAAGGCGGACGCATGAGCCACGTGGTGATCTAGTAGTGTAGTCTTTTTCTCTTTTCCAACGACAAACGCAAACGCCCTTTTTCACTTGCGTCGCAGTCTCAGCCAAAGGTATCTGATGATGCATACACGCCTTGCCACCCCATCCTTGAAACCATCCCATCCAGTTTTTGAGAGAGATACCCTCACTCTCTTCTACTTTTGCCCAAGAAACCAAACGTGTCCACGTACCATCTCGTAAGGAAACAACTTTCCTCCCCGCAGACGGCCACTTAACCTTAACACCGCCTCGGGGCCACCAAGCGTCGGGGACCTCAAGAGAGACACGTCCCAACTTTGTCCCATCCGTCCATAGACGACACACCCCCTTCCCCTGCCCTCCACCTTTCGGAAGACGGACATTCCAGCCTGATGCTTAATCCTGAATCTGGAGTTCGTCCATGTCGTCAAGCAGTTCATCCATGTCCACCCTCGGAGCGCCCTCATCGCCCTCGGTCTCGGCGATGCTCATGGCGTCCGGATCAACCTTCTGCGGCTGTTGTGACTTGTACAGCGCCATCGTAGCCCGCAGCTCGTCGTCCTCCTCGACATCGCGCAAGAATTGCTCGTAGTCCTCGTTCATGCGGTCCTGGTCAGCCTGCTTAGGCAGCAGCTCACCCTCGTCCTTGGCCATACGCTTGAGCTTCCAGTTGCGGTTCTTGTGCTTTCTTCTGTTGGGGTAGTGCTTCTTAACCAGGATGACGTCGGGTATCGTCGAGCCGTAGGCGTGCGACTCTTCAATGGCGTCAAACTCCTCGTTGTTGAAGTTGGTGCCCGTGAGCATGTAGCCCATGACCGAGTCACCGGCATGCAGCAGGCCGCCCAGGTGTGTTCTCGCAAAGTAGGTCTTGTCGTTTGAGCCCAGGTCAGAGGCGCGGGCTACTTGCACCTCTGCGAGATGCCACTTGCCCTTTGTGATGCCCGTCGGCTCGATGTCCATGACGATAAACTCAACGAGCGACTTGACGTCGGCAAGGGAACGGAACGGTGCGCGCCAGTAGATAGGAGCGCTAACATCTGCGGTCTGAAGGGTGTTGGGGTCGAAAAGGTATACTGCGGTTCCGATCTTGTGGCAAATGACGAGGGGAGAAATGTTGCCGGATGCCCGGGCCAGCTTGATAGGCAGAGCCACAAGGTCGTCACGGCAAATGGGGATCAGTTCGACTGAAAAGGTGAACTTGAAAGATTTTGTCGATGTGTGGATATCTTGCGAGATGAGCTCCTGCGACTTCTTGACCGTGCAAGGCACAACGGAGTTGAGGAAATCGCAAAACTTTTCAGCTTGATTCCTCGCCGAGAAGAAGAAATCAATGCCGTCCTTTGCTTCCTTAATGTTTAGGGTATCTCTGTGTGCGCCGTGCTTCATAATCAACTGCTCGAGGTAGAGGAACGTCCTCTTGTGCAGGACCTTTTGCCGAACCTGGACGGAGGCGCGCCACACGTTGGCCGTGTAAGACTTGGCGCAATCGGGACATTGCTGGTACGCGACGATGTAAACCGCCTCAAAGGCCTGCTGAAGAAGGACACCGCTCTGGACCTCGTCCTGAATCGTAATCTTGACCTTGACTCGTCTCGAATGGGGTTCCGTCCACACAAAGGAGGCGTCGATGATGCGTATCTTGTTCAGGCCCTTGAGCTTCTTGAGGCAGAGGGCGAGGAGTTCGCGGGACTCGGGCGCGGCGACGATCCAACTGCTGGGCGGCAGCAGCCAGCGCTCGCAATCTCTGCAGTAGTTGAGGGTGGCTTCGCGCTGGACGCCCTGGGAGATGTCGACGGTCAACTTGATGCAGTCGAAGCAGAGCGCGTTGGCAGCGGTCGTTCCATCGATGGGAGCGCCGCAGTTGCAGCAGAGAATCGTGGCGTGGGTGCTATTCATATTCATTTTGGCGTCTCTCTTGCCCTCACTGCCTAAGTCCTTGTCGATGTCGAGGAGGGAAAAGGTATGGGAAACTGAGGCGACAAGGGGCTCTCTTGGGCACTTTGGGCTCGGTGTATGGCGGGGTCGTTCATCGAGGGGGGAAAAAAATTATGAATCTGGCCGATAAGGCGAGCGCGGGGCTTATCAATAAAGTCACATGATAATGACGCCGCTGGTGGCGGGGTTTCGTCCAGCTTCGAGTCACATTAGTAATCACAACGAACACCCGGCATCTAGTTGCGCCTTCTATCATCTGAATACCTAATATTAGAGGGAGTCTCGCCCTGGGAAAGACCGCAGCTGGGCATGGAATTCGAAGGTTCGAGTCATGTACTGTGTCAATAATTCACTTTTGTGACTCATCGTTGGCTCAATAGCTTGGCACCTCCTCCTAGGCCGGGATCGTCTGCCATGTCGATGTTCAAGAGGCTTCCTCAAGGTGATGATTTGCTACATCTGTATGCAGAGAGACTGATAAAACGCCCACACTTGGCATATCGGTTTTCACGGAATAACCTGCGGCTGTTCTGGCCCAAGATGGCTGGGACGCTATGATTGTAGCGCACCTAGAACCTATGTTAACAGCGGTGTAGGACAATTAATGAGAGAATACATGAGTCGGGGCAATTCACTGAGACCTCTGCATTTATCAAGATTGTTGTAAGAGTTTTTGCCTGCCTCTCTACCAATAGCCTCCCTATAGGTAGCACATTACAAGAGAGACAGAAAGAAGGGAACAGCACGAATTGAACGGTTCCGTCGGATTCTGCCAAGCCTCCATACATGCTTTCATTCACGAGGTCAGGCTCCTCCATGTTGGGCCCCTAAACCGGAGTCCTCCTCTAGATCCCTGGGGGTATATCTCTCAAATTAGTCATGGCTGCTGAGTCCTGGCGGGTTAGACTACAGGTACGAATAAACAGCCGAGGATGACCTAGGGAATAGCGAGACTACTGTTAGGCCTGTCGGAGTTCTGCAAACTCATGTCATCGACTTCACGGATCTACAGCTGCTGTAACCGCCGCGTCAGTCAGCCTGTCGATTTCTCGCGCACACCCCCACCGCCTATTGTCTGTGGCAGTGAAAGGAGAACAATTGCAATGGGCGATCCGTCATTTATATCTAAGGCTCAAACATCCGGAATTGCAGCTTGGAAATTTTGGCATTATCAACATGACTTGGACTTCCTGGTAGTATGAGGGACATCCTCCATGATCCAATATTCTCACTCAGTTTTGTAAAACATCACCGTAGGTCTCCATTTCCCATAAGGCCTTTCAATCGCAAAGAATCTATTCTTCTTTTCCTCTCAAGGGTATGCCTACACAAGGTCTCAGATCATGAACTCGTAAAAATGGTCATCTCTACGCCTTACCATTCGTCTCCTCAGTCTTCTCCGTCTCCTTCCCATTCGTCCCGTTGCCGTTCTCCTGACCAACGGGACCGATAGCCTCCCGGGCAGCCATCAAATCCTGAGCCAACGCGCCTAGGTGAAGCACATCAGCCGACATGGCAATAAGACTCATCCTCTTCGCCGCCTCACGAAGCTTCTCGGGGCTGCCATACGGCGGCGCGCAGAAAGCGAACCCGGCGTACGGCTTGTCGTGCTTATCAATCGTATCGAAGAAGAGCTTCGAGATCTCGAGCCACTCGGGTTCGTCGGCGCCCATGCCGCCCATCTTGGCCTCGAGGTTCATGCTGACGCGGCAGTCGAGCGTGCCGAACCAGACGACGTCGATGTCGGGGCACTCTGTGAGGATCGCGTCTAGGTTGCGGACGCCCTCGGCGGACTCGATTTGGATCATGATGGCGGCCTGGTCGTTGACGCACTTGTGGATGTCGCGGTTGGGGTCGTAGGGGGTGTCGGTCAGGAAAGGGATGAGACGGAAGGGGGGAGCAGAGCGTGTGCCCCGCTGCTTGGTGCCGTACTTGGCCGCGGACAGGACGTGCTTAGCCTCCTCTACCGTCTCGACCTGAGGGATGACGACGCTGGCACCGCAGTCGAGGGCGTAGCCGATGGCTGCGTGATCGTGGCCGGGAACACTGTGGGATCCATGTCAGCGCCGGCTTCACTTGTTCCAAGTTGTCTGTGGGAACCCTTACCGAACCCAAGGGATGGTTCGGCCCTGGCTCATGAAGATAGCTTCGTGGACCATCTATTCCCGTTGGTTAGTGAAGCTCGACACAGCTAGTTATCGTTCTGGCTCATGACTTACCGATGTCATGGTCTCGACGGAACAGGAAGTGTGCTCCCAGTCAATCCAGACTGCATCGTAGCCCATGGGGGCAAGGAAGCGTGTGATGGGCAGAGCACTGAGGCCAGCATAGTAGCACATCAATGGGGGAATCTTCTTCTCGTGGGCATCGCGAATGGCTTGACGAGCCTTGTGTGGCTGAAATAGGGAGGGCGCCGCGTAGGCATTCATGCCCAGCGTGGGGACATTCTTGTACTCCTGGCCGATGACTGACATCTTGGCAGGTATGTCCGCTCGGAAGATGGGTGACAGTAAGTGAGTAGAGTCTCTCAAGTGAGGTATCCAAGTAATGGAAGAGATATCGATGCATTTGAATAGTGACGAAAAGAGCGGCAATGACAACTCTTTTATATCATGTTGGATTCATCAAACGTCACATTGCATGCTGCCGAGTTGTGGACCTTCAGGGGCCATCAGAGCTTGCCGGGGCTCGCAGTTGGTTTCTCTCCGGTAGCGACAACGTGGAGCTGGACTATGGGCTTGTCTCTGGGACCCGTCATCGGGACTATGCGATACTCTTGAAGAGGTCCCAACTATTGACTTGCTTTGACCTTGTTCGACGAGAAGATTTCCTACAGCACAATGGATGTAACGACGGGTGGATACCCTACTCTCACGTCAGCGTGTGCCGGCAAAAGAAAGTTGTTGGGTCGTTATGCTCAAGCATAAGACTTTGCAAAAGTCCAAAAGTCCAAAGTTCCCTGTCCTAGCCGTAAACATTTTTTCGTACATTAACCCAATGGCTTATTGGGTATCTTAGTGCTTAGTATGGGGTAAAGCAACCTCGATATGGGCGAGCTTCCTAGACGCGGGGAAGGCAAGAAGCGGTGCATCAATTAGACGGTCATTATTCGAGGGACGTTAATTGCTACCTCTCGGACACGGGTCGAATTGACCGGGTCCTAACAGCCGGCTGAGCTGGCGTAAGCTTCCACCAGCCTCCAATGACCTTTGAAAGGGATATCATGTTTCTGGCTCCGCGCTAAGCGTCGTCCATCACAGTAGGTCTTACTGCAGGATCATTTACGACCTGGATCAGACAGGGGATCGTATCCCTCTTCAGGAAGGACCCTCAGAAAATGTCCCACATGGATATTTTGCCGTCTTTGCTCCCAGCTGCCAGCCAGTGAGCATTCTGAGCTTGCTGGATGCGCCTGTCCTTGACACTGAGCTGTTGTTGTCCTGGACGAGAGATAAGATCGTGGGGAAGCTGATTGGGATCGCCGGACGCGCTTCGGGGTTCATCTGTCCGAGATGTCGCGCCGACACTGGCCAAGGCAACCGCATAGCATCCAACTTGGTGCCATTTGAGCGCTGCCAACTCCTTGAGGGTCTTGGAGGAATACACACGGATCATGGAATCCCAGCCAGCGGTAGCAAAGATGAGCCCGTCATCCCGAATGCGTAAGCTCTGCTGGCCCGAATGCTTGGTGTTCAGAATCTTCAACGGCTGCTGGATGATGCCCCCGTCAATATCGGACTTGAGTCCTGGATTAGGGCCTGGAATAGGATGTTTGGCGATTGTCGCATCTGCACCGGAGGTAAGGAAGTAGCCTTGCTCCGCGACAACGTCGAGTGAGAGGATGGGCTGGTTGTGAACTTGTGACAAGTAGGTAGTAATCCAAGTCCCACTGTTGAGCTGCAAGACCGTTGCCAACCCATTCTCGTATGCGGCGACGAGGGTCAAACGACCATTGGTGGATGCCTGTGTTGACGCGGGTCCATCGACATACAGCAGGGCTAGGGCCATGACCATGCCATTCTTCTCTGTTGACTTTATTGTGTGAAGTCGCTTCTTGGACGGTAATTCGTAGATGTCGACCTATCACGGATGTACGGGTTAGGTTCCCGGTCTCATGCAGAAGGCCGGGCTTAAAGGCGGAGATAATTGGCGGAGATGGTGAACTGACCGATTCCGACGCCAAAGTGTTTGGCACTGCTAGCAATAAGCTCGAAGACTCGGACGCGTTGTCGCCAGGCAGCGGAGCACATGATGCGAATGAACAGAAATTCATGGTGTTGACGTCGATAAGATGTAAAAGCCAAGGGTGTGGTCTTGGCTCTGGTGTCTCATCGAGAGGTAGCTTCTTGCTCAGATGAGTCTCATCCTTGAGGCCCAATTGCCAGACGGCAAGCTTGTGATCCCGGCCGTGGCTGAAAAGAGGGTGAGAGAGGATCAGCGATGCAGCGATGGAGGGAGGCTCACGTTATTATCCGGTCGTCTCCCCAACCCTTGATCCCCAAGATTGCGTTCTCGTGTGGCCTCCACACGGCCGTTGGGCGCATAATGGTGAGGTCCCAGAGGACGACGAAGCCTTCCGCATCTCCGCTGGCTAAACGATCGTTACCGCGGACAAAGGTTATAGCGTGCACTTGGGCTTTGTGGCCTCGAAGGATGGACTTTGGGTGAGGGGTCGATTCTGCCATGGCCAAGGTTGTCCGACCTGCATTCTTGTCACGAGAAAGATCAATGTAGGTAGGAGCGCGGCGATTTGAGGTGGTGGAGGAAAAGTCAAAAACAGTGTCTTGAATTTTGGAAACGCACAGTACCCTCCTGCGGACGGAAGGGTCCTGGCCCACCTGCACTCCTCTAACCGGCTCGCTTAACACCGCAAAGGCGAGCCACTATTGCCTGCCGGAACATGCTGTTCACAGTACTAGAACAGTGCATCGTCTGACTGCCATGCCATGTTTTCTCTGATTTAGGAATCTGACAGTTTGACGAATTTCAGAGTGGCATTTCTGGCTACCGGGATTTGGGATACCAAGTACGACAATGGTGACAAGGTATCTCACGTCAGACATCTGACACATTACTCCGAACCGCCCGTTTGCTTGAGGTGTCGCACTTTGATTCGAAGACGGACCGATGATCATCTACTCCCAAGAGCCCGGATCCCACGACGGCGGATATTGATATGACTGGCAAGATAAATACCTGATAACGACCACGGCTGCTGTGTGAGGTGAGATATCTTGGCAGTTCTGAAAGAGCCCGTGACGTGGAAAAATGGGAAATGAGCACTACAGTTCTCCTTTACCGTCAAGGCAAGCGCGTATATAGGTGAAAGAGCCCGTAGATGTTCATTTACTTCCGTTGTGGTTGGGGCGTTTGTTTAAAGTTGCCATTATCCACCACGGGCTGGGATTATCATGACATGACTCTTGTAAGGCGGAGAAGATCGAGAGGCCCGTGAGGCCCATGTACAGTGTATCCGTATAAGACGAATGCTCGGCGCGCAGTCAATGTTGTATCCCTTTGCCTCTACGAATGCCGCATCTTAGGTAACCTTCTCTTCAGTGCGGTATGAATTTTGTCCACTAGAGGATGGTGGGAAGCGGACGGTGCGGCCGAGTCGACCGAAGGGTCCGGACCGCATCGGGTTTAACAAATACGAGCGGAGGGAGGTAAGTCGTCGCCCGCTCGGTCCACGTCAGCTTGGAATGAAGGGTCTCTTGTATTTTACCATGATGCCTAAATCCTGTCGGAGCACGCGACGTGGAATTGTGTACTGTGTCTTCCATTGGGCTGAAGGCAAAATACGTAAGGTACAGGTAGCTTGAATCATCTTGTGTACGCTATCTAGAGTTACGGAAGATTCCCAAGAGCGCGGGTTGGATCCTATCGGGTAATCCTTTCTGGTCAGACGGAACGCCCAGAACCAAGTCAGTGGGATTATTTGGCTTGGATGGCACAAAGTACCTCGTTCTCCACCGTCTTGTCATCTCTCTAGGTGAAAGCTCGGTATACCAAGGTGTGTTCGGTGTACCAGGGGTGCTTTCCTGCTCAATGGATGGCGGGAGGTGGTGTGCCGGCGTAGGGGGATCTCATTGGATCGTCCCGTTCGTGCCCGAGCAGATTTACGGTACCTGCTCCTGGGTTGCTCCTCCCATTCCAGATTCAGAGGGTTCTACCTATATGTGTCCATCCCGGTCTCTTGGTGCCGGTACGTAGCGCAACTTACGCCATCGCTGCTTACCTCATTTGTATTTGGTAATTGGCCTCTCCTGCAGCCCTCGTAAATCTGACAGACGGCAATCTCTCCGACACGTGCAACGCCAACATTGGCACGCAATTGTCGCCGACGACCCTCTTCCGCCTTACATCCACCCAAGAACCTAAGCCACCCCCAAGCGTCGACTTGGCATCATCCTCAACAGAGGTGCCGGCCCAGTTGGCTTCAAGATCGGCACACCGGTCTGGTGTTACACACACACTTCGTCTGCTTCGAGTCTGCTCTGTTCCTCCATCTCCCGAGTCCCCTTCTCAATGCATCTCAGTCAGTCTCGACACACGAAAACCCTTCATCCGGGTTCGCGGAGGACGTTATGATGAATCCATGGTTCCAAGTCGGCAAAGTTGCTCCGAACCTAGCGCACAGAGAATCCACTCGTGATGGATGGACTTTTGTGCTATGGTGCTATGGTCGCTGGGCGATTCGTGTCGCAAGCGGCATTCTCGAATTAGCACTGAGCATCATCTCGGCCTAGCTGTCACGGCGGATGAATCATTTGGCATCCTGCACACCGTTCAAGAGCCTATTCAATGGGAACTGGGTACCCAGATTATTCGCTCTGGTTCCTCTCCGCTCCGCACCGCTAGGCAATGCTTGTCTGATCAAGCTTATCTAGCTGTCGTTTCTTTTTCTCGCTCTCTTTTCTTTCTCTATCGTCCCTATTGTTCGTCGTCTCAACATTCTCGAGTACTGAGTCACCGGACGAGCCACCGGCAGGCGAACCATTGGGTACACGGTTGCTTTACAAATCAACATGGGAAACATCAGCCCGAGTAGTAGGGACGGGCGCAAGTTTTGATGATGTGGCGGCGTTCAGTGGGCAACAAGCGCAGCCTTATCCGTCTGCAGCATCCAACGAAATGCCTGTGAAACTCGAGCTATTCCCAACTGGCTTGTACCAGGTCTTCGCAAGTGCGTCTCTAGGGGCTCGGAGCGACCCCAAAGGACAATACATTGCGTACCTAGACACCTAGACTGAAGGCTCTGACTCCTCCGCCCGACTAACGCCCACCCAAACTCCGCAGATATGTCGTTATGTCCATTACTTCCACCGAGTCGGCGGAACCGGTACTGCACGCTACGTAAATGCAGCCCCATGAGCAGAGACAGGGGGGCGGTTGATGTACAGTAAGCGATGCAACTTCGGAGAGCCTATCTTGGCCTCCAATCTGCCTAAGCAGAGAGCCTCAGAGTCCCCCAAGGGATGCTGCGGACTTTCGGAACATTCCAGATCTACGAAATGGAGTGAAGCCTAAGATGAGGTACTCGACTGTCCAGTGCAAGAGGAGGGATGCATCACGGATCGCAACCACACCTACGGCACGCATGCGGAGATTGGACGATGTTCACTTCTGTCGTTACCAAGCAGCAACGCCAAAGTCGTGCAAAGGTTCTCACATCTTGGGTCATTTCCCTTTTTGGGCTCGGTGCTAAAGTGTTCGTAGTAGGGCTTACCAATGACGCCCTTACATCACGCTTCGAGTCGTTCACACGTACCACCGTAACGTCCCAGCCTAACGCATCCTTCTCGGACCTGAACGCACCACCAGCATGTTGGGACGACCCGTCGCCCGTTATGTTACCGCGACATAGCACACATGTTAGTCTTGCACCATACACAATGAGCCATCGCATCAAATGTCTCCGTTCAGGAGTCCCCCCCTTGTCAGCTTCTCGCCGCGCCCAGGCGTCTACCGCACTTCGGAGTGGACCAAGGGTACACTTGCGGGTTGTCTCTCATCCTCCGAGCGGCGGGCTACCGGCGTCAACGCTTTCCAAACTCCGACACGCATCGCTTCCAGGTTCTTATCATGTTGTTTGATCAAATGCATAAGAGAGCCGGGCCTCCCCCGGTCTTTGCTCCCTCGTCTATTCTGTGGCACGCACTTTAGAGACATTCAGCCTCAACCTAGTCATCCTAGGATCCAACCCTTGCTTGGATTTGAGAAGCCACAAGCCGTTACAGGCATATCAAACTCTCAGTCTTATCGCCAGAGTACTCGAGCTACTTGCTTGACAACACCGCAGCCATGACCTCAACCACCAGCACGCTAGTAACACCACGAGAGAAGGTCGGGGAGAAGACAGGGGGAGAGACAGATCGGGAAAACACCCCTACACCATCAATGCTTGACGAAGAGGTAGTAGAGAAGAAGGAGGAGGCCGGCACTGCAACGGATGAGGAAGCCGGCTCATCACAACCAACGGAACCCAAAGAGCCCGAATACCCCACCGGGATCCGGCTCACCTTCATCGTCGTCGCTCTCGTTCTCAGCATTTTCTTGGTTGCTCTCGATATGACCATTGTCGCAACCGCCATTCCCAAAATCACAGATGAGTTCCGTGGTTTGGATCAGGTCGCCTGGTATGGAGCAGCTTTCTTCATGTGTGTTGCCGCTTTCCAGTCAACATGTAAGTCGTCCAAACCCCCCTAAACGCACTTCCTTCAGCAATAACATCACTAATACCATTGTGAACAGGGGGTAAGGCATACAAGTACTTCCCACTCAAGACGTCGTTCTTGCTCTCCATCTTCATCTTCGAGGTTGGCAGTCTCATCTGCGGTGTCGCTCCTAACTCCGTGGCCCTCATCGTCGGCCGCGCCATCGCTGGCGTGGGCGCCGCAGGTATCGGCTCCGGTGCCTACACCATCATCGGCTTCTCCGCCCCGCCCGACAAGCGACCCACCTTCACCGGTATCATCGGAGCCTCGTACGGCATTGCCTCGGTCATTGGGCCCCTGATCGGCGGAGCCTTCACCGACCACGTTAGCTGGCGCTGGTGCTTCTACATCAACCTCCCCATCGGAGGTCTGTCTGCCGCCATCATCCTCTTCTATTTCCACACCCCGCCACAGGCTGTCCCTGTCAAGGCGAGCATGCTCGAGAAGTTCCTCCAGATGGATCTCATTGGAACCGCCCTCATCATGGCGGCGACCATCTCCTTCCTGCTCGCTCTGCAGTGGGGAGGCCACCAGCACCCTTGGAACTCGTCCACCGTCATCGGTCTCTTTGTCGGCTTTGGCCTTATGATTGTCGCTTTCATCGCCCTTGAGTGGTACCAAGGCGAGCGTGCCATGATCGCGCCGCGCCTCATCAGCGACCGCACTGTCTACATCTCCTCCGCATACGCCTTCTTCTTCGCCGGCGCCTACTTCGTTCTGGTCTACTACCTGCCCATTTACTTCCAGTCCGTCGACAACGCATCTCCCACGCAATCCGGCGTCCGGAACTTACCGCTTATCATCGCGGTCACCATCGCCACCGTTGCCTCGGGCATCTCCATCTCCGCCACAGGACTTTACACCCCAATCCTTGTTGTCGGCGCCGCTCTCGCTACCGTCGGCGCCGGCCTCCTCTACACCCTCGACATCGGCACTGGAAGCGATAAGTGGATTGGATATCAGGTGCTCGCCGGTCTCGCATGGGGTGCCGCCTTCCAGGTTCCCATCATTGCCGTCCAGGGCACAGTAAGCGAGAGTGATCTTGCATCTGCCACCGCTGTTCTGCTCTGTAAGTCCATCTCTAACAAACTGTCTTCGCTGCAATTTTACTAACACTAAGTCTCACAGTCTTCCAAACCGTCGGCGGAGCCTTCTACGTCGCCGCAGCCCAGTCTGGCTTCCTCATCACTGTCCTCAAGAAGGTCGCCGAGAATGTTCCCAACGTGGACCCCAACCTTGTCGCTCTCACCGGCGCAACCCAGATCCGCACCGCTTTCCCCGCAGATGCCGTCCCGGGTGTCATCCAGGCCTACATGGACGGCCTCAAGGTCGCCTTTGCCCTGGCCGTCGCCGGTGCCGGAATCTCGTTCCTCATCTCTCTCGGATCGAGATGGAGCAAGCTCAACACCAAGAACCTCGCTGGTGCCGCCTAAGTCATTGTCGTTCTCTGACGCGAAGGAAGTGGGATGGTCTATATTCTCAACTTTCCGGCTTCTTTGTTCGACTATAATTAGCTTTCCCTTTTGTCTTTCGCTAGATACCATGCTCGACTGTGTAGGAAAGTCTTATAGAATCTAATAACAGGCAGAACGGCCACGGAGTTTCGGTTGCATTTAGGGGTAGAAGGAGGATTTATGGTCTGTCTACGAGGGTGCTTAAGTCAGGGCAACTCAACTCTTATGTCTTACGAAGATAATGTCGAATTTTCATTGTCAATGCACATTATGTGCTAAGGCCAATTTTTCCTACCCCGTGAATCGCTGCTCAGGCCTGTCAGAGCTCAATGACTGTTAATACCTCTCGACGCTGATTCGTATTCCATGGTGAATGGAGGCTAGAGACTGGCTAATCGAGCCCCTCTCCACTTGGGAGAGGCACCTGTCATTCTTCGCAAGAAGAAGTTGCTAAGTAAGTACCTAAGCACTAGATATGGAACACACAACCGGCGTGCTCTCTCTCGCGGTTGTAAGACGTCGTGTAAGGCACTTAAGAGGCGGATGTATCAATGCGACAGACATGCATGGCAGGCGTAGAAGGGATGCCAAGAACATCGGCAATAGGAAGGCAGGATCGACGAATTGATCAAGGAAGGTCCGAATGTGCCTTATTCGGACACGCTTAAACCAGGAATTCTTGCCTCTCGCCCACGTTCGTTGTTCCCTCAAGTTGCATGAGTTGGCCCTTTGGGTTCTCTTTTCCAGTGCACCTCAATTCCTCGTCACGCAAACAACTCCTGAGTCTTTCGCCTCGTTTCCCCCGCAGAAGGGTCCGCGGACAACTGCTCAACCTTGTACTCGAAGTCTTTCTGTATCCCTCTCACCGGCCGCAGCTCGGTCTCGCTGTCCTGCGCCGATGAGCCACGGCCGTCGCTCTCGCCTTCCAACCGCACCCCGCCCTTCTGCCACTTCCTCGACCGCAGCGACATGCCGCCCGAGCCTCCAATCGTGGGACCCACGTACTTTGCCGTCGTCTTCCTCGTCGCGTTCCTGTTCTTGCTGAGGAGGAAGCGGAAGGCGGGAAGCGTGGCGACGATGATGCTGACGGACGACTCGATGTGGCTCCACATGCTCAGGAGCACTGGCCCGTTGGCTATTGTTGTTGGATCCTTGGCTGCGTCGCCTGTGGCTTTTGTTACTTGCGCGAGCCGCGCGATGGCAAAGGCTACGATAATGCCGCCGAGGGAGAAGAGGATGGCTAGGCCGAACTTGTGGGATGGGGAGGTGCTCAGCTTGCGGAGGAGGTTGAGGGGCAGGATCATGACTGTTCACGTTGTGTAATGTAAGTAACATGGGACGCTTACTGCAGCTTTGGATCTGACACGTACTGAGAATATCTGCCGCAACATCTGCGCTCGTCGCGAACTTGATAGAAGCATCTGCTCGTACCAGGTCTTCCGGCGCACTGCACCCGGCTGGTTCTGTAGCGTCAGTCGTTTGTCCCACAGTCTAGGGTTCGGGAAACGTACTCGCACTCCAATACTTTGTCAACGGTGTGCATGTCAGGAAGTTCGAAAGCATGCAAGCTAGATACAGCACCAAGACCGCACCGAAGCACATCCACCAGGCGCGAATGTATTTAGGCAGTCCGGTGACAAGCCTGCGTACGAAGAAGAGAATAGAGAACTTTGCTGTTGATCACACAAATACGGTCAGCGTTGTTCACCACCGTCTCCGTTTGTGCCACAAGAGAGGGAGAGACATACCGGCCCACAGGGTCGTCCAGAACAGCAGCATCTGACAGAACATCAACTTGAGAGATGCAATCGTCCTGGCAATAAACTCCTCAGGCCCCAAAGGCACCGGTGCCAGAGGATCCTTAGCAGCCGCCTTTGTATACTCGCCGGCGAGATAGAACTGCGGCAGCATGCAAGTAATGACTGCGGTCAAGGCCGTCAGAGTGACGAGTCCCGCGATGATGAAGTAGTCGTCGGCGAAGAGGCGCCGCTGGAGGATCCATTGGAAGGTGCCACGAAAGACGGTCATCCCAAAGGCGGCTCCCCACATCACCCAGATGAGTATCTGCCAGGCAAACGTTATCGTGTCAGCTAACGAATCTTAAAGCGATATAGGGTAGCATGGCGAATGCGACGGTTACGACCAAGGCACGGGTCAGAGATCGACAAACGGAGACGTTGCCCCGGCCGTGCCGGACTCCGAGTAAGTGGGGGCGGGGCGGCACGGGCGGGTCGGTTGGCTGCTTACCATCATCTCAGTGTAGCCGAGCACCGGAGTCGCCATATTGCGAGTCGTTCGTCTTCCGGACGATGTCGGTTTGCGTCTGTGGATCGGATGTTGATTTACGCAGAAGTTCGACAGCGGCACGGTAGCTGAATATCGGAAAAGTGGCCACACGGGGGCATTAAAAGCACGCATTCACATTGCTTTTTTCTCTTTTTGCCTTTTGCCTTCGCCCCCCAGAACCGACCTGCTGGATCAGGGGCGCTACGCCGAGACGCATCCTGCCCATGCGAGTTGACAGAAGGATGGAAGGGATTCTGGTCACTCACCTGCGGGAATATCGACTAGGTTTGCGCCATACCAACAGGGCAATATCTTTTTTGCTCTTGCTCGCTCGTGTCAACGGACATGCTAGCCCGAGTCGGGATTCGGACGACGTGGGGTTTAACCAGGGTATTTGGGTATCGACGGGGGGCTCGCCACCAACGGCAGCACCTCATCTCGCGTCTGCGAGGATGCTACTGACCTGCCAATGAGAGAGTCGTCAAACCATGACACTACTGCACTCGATAGCAGACGTCAACCAACCTGCATGATCCCCTCCATCCTTCGCTAACGACATTCTGCAGGTTCATGGGATCCCCTGGAGGCGAATTCCTCTCAATTTTAATATACTTCCCATCGCTACGAAATTGGGTTCGAAACCCGGAATCCCGCGATAGAAGAATGCTTGACTTTCCTCCTGCATCCAGACCTCCTTCACGTTTCGCCGTGGTTCATCGCTTCTCTGACTGACTCCTGCCAAGTTATTTCGTCAACAACCATGGTTCGTGCCACATCCCTCGCCGCCAGCTTGCTGGCTGTTGTCGCAAACCCCCTCGGCGCTGCGGCCGAGGACATCGCCGGCGCTACCACCACTTCGGCCGTCGTAGCCAGCCTTCCAGGTTCGGAGAAGGTTGCCTGTGGGCTGCTCAACTCCCGCTACCCCAAGCAGACCTTTTACTCTGGTTCCGATGGCTACACATACGAGAGGCAGACGCAGTACTGGTCCGCGACAGAGTACAACACACCAGCTTGCGTCTTTGTCCCGCAGAATGCCCAGCAGGTGTCCTTTGCTGTCACCACACTGACTCTGAGCTTGACCAAGTTCGCTGTCCGCAGTGGCGGTCATATGCCAGTCGTGGGATACAACAGCATCGGATCGTCTGGCGTCTTGTTGTCAACGTCCAACCTAACCACTCTGGCCCTCTCCAGTGATAAGTCCACTGTATCTGTTGGCGCTGGTTACCGGTGGAGAGACGTCTACTCCTACCTCGCGCCTTCCGGCTTAGCAGTCGTTGGAGGCCGTATCGGCGGTGTTGGCGTCCCCGGCCTGCTTCTTGGGGGCGGAATCTCCTTCTACTCGAACCAGTACGGCTTCGCAGCCGACAACGTTGTTCGGTACCAGGCCGTGCTCTCTAGCGGGCTAGTCGTCGAGGCTACCGCTACCAATGCCTACTCGGACCTCTTCTGGGCCCTCAAGGGCGGCGGCAACTCCTTTGCCATTGTCACTCGCTTCGATCTCAAGACCTTCGTGTCGCCCAAGGTGTGGGTAGGAATCTCGCAGTACGCGCAGGCGGATAGCGCAAAGTACCTTGACGCCGTCTACAACTTTGGAAAGTTCGGTTCCGCGGATGGCAAAGCCGCCATTATTCCCACCATCCTCACCTATCCTTCGTACAACATCACCGCGTACGCAGCTGCTCGGTTCTACGACTCCGAGACCGCGCCCGCGACGGCGTTTGAGAACTTTACGTCTCCTGCTCTGACGCCTGTGGCCGATTCCTATGCTCTGCAGCCTCTCGCCGATTATGTGGCTGCCGTTGACGCACTCCAACCCACCGGTCTCCGACAAGAGTGAGTCGTCCTAGTCCCTCGAACTGGTATATTGTCATCCTACTAACTCTCTTCAAGGTTCCGCGTCATGTCTCTGGTAGTCAACCGCGACGCTGTAGACTACGTCCACGACACCTTCCTCGCAGCCACCAGCGCCGGCCTCACCAGCATCATCGGCCTCTCGGCCTCCATCACTTTCCAACCCATCACCAAGGAGTTCATTCAGCAGGGAGTCGCCAAGGGCGGCAACCCCCAGGGCGTGGACCCGTCCAAGGCGCCGTACTTTTGGGTCGTAGAGAACCTGACGTGGCAGGACGCTAAAGACGATGCCGCGGTAAAGGCTTTCGCTGACAGCGTCACGGCGGAGATCGAGGCCGGGCTGGTGGCCAAGGGCGTCGCGGGCGGGTATCTGTACTTGAACGATGCGGGACAGGGGCAGAAGATCTTCCAGAGTTATCCGGCGGCGAACCTGGCGAAGCTCAAGGCTATCCGCGCCAAGTATGACCCGTTGAGGATTTACACGAACCTCTTGGTCGGGGGATGGAAGGTCCTTGACGCTTGATCTTTATCTGGTTCCCACGGTCGCTGTCTGTTCCCAATAATCAGCTAAGGATAATGTTTACAGTATTGTGTAGTTAATTTCAGCATAATGACCAACCTAGAAACTTGATATGTCTGTCTTTGATCTAACGTGATTCTGCAAGGCAGTTAGTTAACTGATGGGTATTGCCATATCAATCGTCAACTGTGCAACTGCATTGTCAAGAAGTAAAGTCAATCGCCTCCTTTCGCCTGTCGATATGAAATCTGGAACAAAAATCGGTAGAAACATAGGACTCCAACCAATTCATCAGCAAAATAATGATTAGCTGTTCCTGGAAAACAAAATTCAACTTTTCTAGGTATTCCAATCTCGCTATAAAATGCAAATGCGCCCTTCCCCTTTTACACCTTACATCTCCAATTCACACGGACACACCCCCCGCAGCAAAAATCTATGAAGAGCCGCCCGTAACCTTGACACTACCATCCTCCATACCAAAGTACGCAGCAACCGGCTTCTGCGCCAACCCGACCTTGCCAGCCGCAGCGGCCTGAACACCATTGAGACCGTGGAAGATGCCAATCTCGACGATGCCGGGGATCATGAGCAGCTCCTTGGCGAGCGCGGAAACCTCCCACGCGCCGCTGGCATTCCGGGCGCTGCCGTCTGACACGTCCGAAGAGAGGAGAAGCTGCGGGAAGGGCGCGTCAATGAGCCACATGCCGTTGTCGGTGACGACCTCGCCGGCCTTGCCGGGGGCGCCGGGCCGGACGGCGGGCTTGACGGCGCCGAGGGCCGTGAGCCTGTCCAGCACGTCGGGGGCGGACATGGGGAGGACTTCGATGGGGATGGCTTTCCAGTTTGTGAGCAGTCTCGCGGAGAGCTTGCGGTAATCTGGAATATTTGATGAGCTCACAAATTCGTTTGAAGAAAGGGAGAAGGAAAACTTACCAGCGACAACAACAAACTTCTGGGCCGCAATGGCAACAAGCTTCTCCTGGAACAAACACGCGCCGCCGCCCTTGATGCAGTTAAGCTCGGCGTCCACCTCGTCGGCGCCGTCGAACGCGACGTCAATGGCGACGAGCTTGCCGTCCGGGCCGAGGGGCCTGTCGTCGAGGTTACACAGGCGCAACCCGGCAGCGCGGATGAGGCCCTTTGACTGGCTGCCCGTCGGGAAGAAGGTCATGTTGCCGTAGAACGAGGGACCCTTGGCGGCGATGGCGTCGACGACGTAGACGACTGTGCTGCCGGAGCCGATGCCGACGTAGCGGGCTCCGGGGGCGAGGTGTTCGTCTACGGCGCGGTAGGCGGCTGCCTTTTTGGCTTGTTCGACGAGGGACATGTTGGGTGTGGTTCTGAGGGTGCGGCGGGGGACTAGGTGGAGGGAGGACGAGGTTGAGGTGAAGGTTGATGGCGGGGTGGTTTTGGATGGGGCGAGGGTGAGGACGGGATGAGTTTTGGTGGTGAGGTGTGAGAAGGGGCGTGAGGTGGTGGATGAGGAGGAAAGGAAGAGTGACGAGACTTTTGATCTTATAAGTCTTCTACTTGTACCGATGCTAGTCAGGGACATGGAAGGCGAGAAGGAGGCGGGAGTCGGGATGAGGTGGTGGTGTTATGGTGGGATGAGCCATAAAGTTGCGTCTCTTGCGGCTGTCCTGGCTTACTCAGGAACCTGAATCGTGACGCGGGACGGGGTGTGGATTCAGTTCGACGGCCGGCGACAGCTGGTCACGAATGGCAGGCGTTGTGGGATGTATCTCAGAGACAGACTTGGACAAAGAGATATTGGCGGTCGGCATAGGGTCGTTATGTTTGATAGGTCAGACTCAAGACCATTTGGATACATTGGATTTTCGGGTGTTGTTTGATGTCTTTTGCGGCCACCAGACCAAGAGCTGCGAGGCAGAATAGCTGATCAGTCGGTGAGTGTCGGTGAGAGCCCCTCCTTCACCGATCGCGGGGCACAATCCATAAGCCGTCAATGCACCTCGAGAAATTCAGGAACCACTTCTTTTTTTCACCATCTCCACATAATGACGTACCCAACGGTGATTTCCAGGGACGTCTTTCTTTCTCCACCACGCAGCACCGACTCAACGCCCGCCGTTTATCGTCTCAGAAGTCAGAACCGGATCCGCCGAATCAGACCGAGACGGCAAGACCTCGGAGGGGGACCGGGAGTTCCACCGGTGTGCGTCCCGGTGGAGAATTGCCGGTGGAGAAAGAGCGCAAAGTCTGTACTTTCATAGGAGATTAGGAGGATCCTTCTCAAGGAACTACCTCGCGGTCTTCGCGGGTAGAAAAAGGGTTCTATGCTGAACGACGTCATTTCGCTCAACTATGGAGACTGGTGGATGTTCTGAGGGAATATGGATGGGTCCAATTGGGCCTTCTGCTGTTTTAAGAGCCAAATTTAGGGAATCGGACGCGATTGATTAGCGAGCTCGTGTTGGATTGAGGAAGCTGGTATCGATAAGATCGCAACTTCACGAAAATCAGTGCAGATTGCGTCGTAACGTATCTCCAGCATGTGGCCATCTCCCTTATGCTCTGCTGAGATGTCTGCCAGCGTCTCGCCTGTAAGAAGTCAGTACGCAAATCTTCTGGGGTTGTATCTCACTTATGGCAAAGTCTTTGGTTGCCGCTCGTCGGACAGTGAGTAACATCAACGTGGATGGAGAGAATGTGAAGGACGACTACCGTTTCGCTTCTCATTTATTTGCGATTGAACAAGTGCTGATAGTGTTGACGATACTTTACCGAAAAAGACCAATAGTCTATCCCACTTAAGATTATTGTGCGATGGATCATAGATCACAGTATCAAAGACAAAAGCCCGAATGAAGGAGCGTTACCACATTGCTGATATTAAAGCAGTAATTCGCGATTCAAAGTTTAGTGAGATCCTTAGGCCTTGAACTCATTGTCTTCCTCGCGCTTCCGATAGTCATCAATCGATGTTCCCGCGTCAAAGTGAAGTGGATAATACTCATCCACAACCTCGATAAGCCCATCATCTTCGTTTATAGTCAGGTCCAATCTTCCTCGATAGCGGAACGTCTTTCCGCTGGCCTTGAACTGGCTCGTCAGGTCGTTCGTATACGTTCCGGTTCCGACAAAGGCAAAAGTCACGTGAACTTTCCCGTTCTTTTCCAGCTCTTGCCAGACGAGCTCAACGCGCATTTCGAAGTTGGGGTTCGCATGTTTCCACATCCCGACGTGATCCGCTATGCCGGCGTGCCCTTGGCGCTGAACCTGGAAGGCGTGGTCGTTGTAGACGACTGACTTCGAGTGAAGGTCGATCCACTGCTGGGGAGGTCCGCTGGCATCTGATAGGGGAAAGACGCCGGCCCAGATGGCGGCGAGGTGATTGGGAGTCAGGAGGTTTTCTAATGATCAATTCTCAGCGTCTTTATAGGTGACAAGATAGACCGGGAAGACAGCATGGGGAGAAAGAATACGACTCGCTCCAGACTGAAGCCGACTTACTCATCACGGTCAAAAAGTTCTGGACAAGAGCTTCCAGAGGGACGTTGCTTGAATAAGGAGATGGCCATTGAGAGAGAGGTGGCAAGGATCGAAGCGGGCGATGTGGCTATTTAATCTTGCATCCTTGTCTGTAGCGGGCTTTGAGAAAAATCTAATAGTCGAAATCAAGCACTGTACTGGTAAGCTCAGAGTTCTTGCCGTTGGAAGTTGCCGGTCATGAAAGCTGGTCTTGGCATTACCAAGGAATATGAAGTCTAAGTATACCTCGGTGACCAACCTGCGGTTTAGGATCTTCCAAGGAAGGAATATAAAAGCCCGCCATTCCGCGGGAAGCTGATGTGCCTCGGCTGGTCCCTACAACGGATGTATCGCGCTTCACGGCCCCCGGCGAACCATGGATCGGGGCCGCTCCGGTGAGCTGGAGAACAAGCACAGCGCTGGCCTGCAGGACACAAGTGACCAAATCCAGATGATTTGCCTTTGATCTAAATACTAGCAACGACTTTGGGTGTGACGATGACCCAATTTATCTAGAGCGGGCATTCAAAGGACCAAACCTTATTCTGATCCAAAAAAAAAAAAGCACAGTGTAACCACCTGCGGCAACACAGTCTTACTTCACTCAGTTGAATTGGCCTGTACCAACTCCTAGCATGTTTGAGGCCAATTGAGGCTAGTGATTAATCTGAAATTGAACAGGATGAGTTTACCTTATGGTCAACGACAGCTTTAGAGGCCGCCCGGCCGAGAAGACTTCTCTATATAGGCTGGAAACAGCCTGAACAACAATGTACATCTGTACTAAGGCTCAGTTCGATGACATTAAAGGGCGATGTGCGCCATTATCGGGTATAGCATCAAGAGGGCGCTCATATCAATAGACTTGTCATCTAATGGGTTCAAAATGACAGGCATAGTTGGGCGATACACTAAGAAGTGAAAGAGCATTGAGACGAGTTGGATTTTCAAGTGATTGTACCAATACTTGAATGAAGGTAGGCTAGTTGAGCAATGGTTCAATGGCACCATGTGGTTTACGCGTGGCCGAACCACCCGCCTCCCTCACGCCGCTCAATGTAGGTGGGGAGGATGAACTTAGTACCTGCGTAGGCAATAGTAAACACGGAGTTTTGTCGTCAAGAGCCATGAAGTTCCGCGTTAGCACATTTGCGAAACGCATTCTGGCGTCGCCTAATATAGAGCATATACAGGACTTATTGCCTGATCCGACGATCTCCTTGGGTGGCACAAATACATACATTGCATTACTTGGTTGGATCAGACTTCGTGTTCGGCGTTGCCAAGTCGAGTTCAACTGCCCAATAGATGGCATGAGTATGTGGCTCGAAGAGAAACGACTGCATGGCCAGAAGCCATGAGTAGCCGTGACGAAGGGTCCAGTCAAACCGGTTCAAAACTTCCTCATCCAATCACCGTGGAATGGTGTCATCGAATCAAACATCTACTGAAGTGTCACATGGCAGATGTCGACGAATTGGGTATGGCAGTCAGAGAGGGATATTTGGCTATCTATCATGCGAATTCCAAGGCTCTGCTCTCTCGCGTTTCTCACACGGTCACTTCCTCTTCTTCTAGTCCCCGTCGTCGCAGCTTTGTCAAGCAAACCAAATCCTTCATCTCGCAGACACATTTTATAAGTCCACGTGTGCAGTGGCGAGATAACAAAACTCTCTCATCGTGATGGCAGTTCTCTCCACCTCAGTAGAAGCTATAGCCATGACAGTCGTAGAGGTAGGGGTCGCTACAGCTGTAGTCGCTCCTGTTGGGACCGTCGTAGCTGCGATCGCATTCCCCGTTGCGGCTTTGGCTGTAGGTGCTGGCGCCGTGGCGGTCGGAATGGGAATGGTAGGTATTTGCAGGGTTACTTGTATCCTCGATCTCAATGGCTGATGTTCATCCTCGGATGCACCAGTTCAATACCTCAAACACCCCTCCGAGAATGCCCAAGATTCCCAAGAAGATGCTGAAAAGACTGCTCAATGTCTACGGCAAGAAGATTCACAAAAAGCTGAAGAGAAAAACACGTTGCGATACGAAAAATAGAAATGTGTGGAATAATGCAGACTTTCGAATCGATTTGGGACAGTCTGCTAAGACTCATGGCCATCTCAAGACTTGGCACTTGCATTTCAACAAGAAGGCCAGTAAGGACATCAGAGATATGTTCGAATACCAGGGCTGCACAACGCATACCAAAACTGCTTCGGGGAGTATTTGATATTGCGAACCCACCGGATTACGAAGCCTGGGTAGAGAAAATTTTGGAGCTATATAAAGAGTGACACATCGGGATCTCTGAACATAAGATACTTCGGATATCTTGAACTACAAGATGATTTAGCTTGTTTCCCTACAAAAACGGCGTATAGTACATTTGATGAATGAATTTCGCCTCTTTTCTTTTGGTCTGCTTAATACACCGAAAGACTAGTCTCTTCGAAGGTGTTACTCGTAGCAAAGCTGGGGAATGGGAACTAGCGAGTGGTCTGTTTGGAGAAAGGGAGTAATTAGTGTGTTGTGAGTTGGATTTGACGTTATACACTGATTCCAGCTGGAACCCGTCACGGGCTGTGGCAGAGATTATCTGAACTGAATACCGTCCACAAAATGACGCTAAAGGTCGGGAAAATATGAGCATTAAAACATTGTGACTTAATTTTATTTATTATGTTACCATCAGCCTGTGAGGCTAGGGCTTCTACTTCCAACTGCCTCCATACGGACTAGTTTGCTCGAAAAGCCCAAATGGAGTATGTATTTGGTGTACATATTGTCTTGCTCGGGTCCACGGTTCTCGCGATTCTTATTCAGCGATGACATCCTAGTGAAGTGAAATTTAGAAGAGACTAATGAAGGCCACAAGGCTCAATGAGGCGGTGCTCGTGTCACGCCCTCGTTTCAAATATTGCGGGTTCCTAATCTGCGGAAGCGTGAACCACAAATCGAGCCGTCAGGCTCAGCCGCAATGCTGACATAAACCCTCAAGGCAGAGGCATCATAAGATACTCTCTCTATCACTCAGATAATGATTGGCTCGGATCTCATACGGCCGAGTCGGTTCCTTCGCTGAGCCTTTGGCTAACTCAAGAACGATGGCCATTGGCTATGAGGCCGCTGGGTGGGAGCCGGCATATGAAGTCTGCCTGGAACCTGGCAGGCGTTCGTTTGGTAGGTTAAACATCAGTATCATCCTTGACGGGGATCCGTATGCTTGTGGCTGTCAAACAACTTTGACTTCGACCTGGAGATTATTCATCTTACCTATTGGAAACACGAGGCCAATGAAGTCTCGCAACTACGAGATCAATACGTTTAAGTAGGGCTAATAGAGTACGGCGCAAGTTTGAGTATTCGTTAGACTACCAGAGTACAGCTGAGAAGAAAAACATACCGGAGGGCACATTAGTCTAGCCGAAGCTCTCGCTCCCACGTGCCCACCGTCCTGTCTCTTCCGGCAACGTCTTTCCACATCCGTTGTCAATGTATCGATCCCCATGTTCTTACTGAAATAAAGGAGGCCTCTTAGCTGAGATGATGCATCTGCAATCAGAGCTTAGATGGACTTCCTTCATCGAGACGAACCGCTCTAAATTTCATCCAAACGAATCTGCGAATTTCGGTCCATAACCCGAAAATGGTCGTCAACCGGTTGCATTCACAGCATTCAATGGTAGGTTCTCTAGCGTCAACTGTCATTGACAACTTCCCTCTCGCCTAATTTTTCTTGGCATCTGCTGTTAGTGAATGAGTGAGCCTACCACCAAATTACTAACAGCCGAAAACTCTTCACCTCCCCTTGCCGGAGCCCGCATCCGCGATGGCCTCACAGCCGCCGTCGGGCACCGGACTGATGTCGGCCGACCAAGCCGACCCCGAACCAGGCTCCGGGACACCTCCGGAGCCGAACCCCACCTCAAGAGCTAAGCGACGCCGCGACGCCGAGGCACAGCCGACCCGGCCCAGCCTAACGGGAAGCCAGCTTGATGCCACCACCGACGCCCCTACCTCGGCCGAGGGGCCCGCAGCCTCTACCGCATCTGCTCCGAGCGGATCTGCCACAGGGTCCGTCTTGACAGCCCTTGCAGAAGAAGCTAGACAGTACGAGGCACGGAAAGACGTCTTTCTGACCATTGCACGGTCCGTCGACAGCGTTGTCGCCAGCTTTGACGGTTCTAGAAAGCAGATCGCGAAAGAAGCCACTGCCTATGTCATTCAAACCCTCAAGAGACTGATCAATCACGAGACAAGCCCAATAGCGGCCCGGAGTTGGGCGGCTGTCGTCGCACCGATGGCGGGCAACACCACTGCGGCGACCCGGAGCGGCCAGAGCTGCCAGAGCTCTGCCCGCCCGAAGGCCACACTCCCCGCCGAGGATCAGCCGCAGGCGCAGCCGAAGGAGGACCTCCGCATCTTTGCCCGCGTCCCGGAAGAAAGCTTAGCGGCCGCTCGGAAGATCGCACCGTTCGCCGTACGACAGATCGTCTGTAAGGCCGTTGGCCTGGGGCTAGCGGACCTTCCCCACGTCTACCATATCAGCACAGGTTACTCTCTGAAGCCGCGAAACAAGCAAATACAGGAAAGACTACTTACAAGTAAGGCAAAGCTGGCGGAATGCCTCGGCGCCCACCAAGTC